CGATCTTAGTTATGGGGCTTAGACCTTACACAAAAACATTTCAAAAGATCTTCAAGAAAATAAAAATTTGACGCCAAGCAAGCTGCTGCGAAGGAATGAAGTAGAGTCCAACCTCAAGTCCCGCCTGTTGCACAGGCAAAAAGTGATTCAGGGGAGGCTCGAACTCCCGACCTTCAGTGAACTCGTGATGGCCCGAGGGCATCTCCATGTTAGACTGACGTGATAAACCAACTACACCACCGAACCGATGGAAGCCGAGGGTTGGCTGAGGGAATTATGAAAGCACAAAGTTGCGGAACAAACTGGAGCAGGTGAACAGACCCCTCAACGAGAGGGGCAGCGGCGGTACCGCACTGAACTTTGGCCTGTGGTATACGCTGGCTCTTTCTTCGGGGGACCATTGAAGCTGAGAAGTCCAGTATCCACCATCCTTGAACTACTCACCAGGGAGGGGTAGCCATGCATGACGTGCTGATCGCAGATAATGTGATTGAAGTGAAGAGAAGCATAGCCCTAGGGTGAAAGTTAGAATCCAGTCTTAGTTCCCAGCACAGCGCACTCGCCATACCTCGGTGATGCGTCGATTGATCAGCCTCAAGGCCTCGTGCCGCTCTCATCCGTGATTCATCATCAAAGCCTCACGTCTCCGCTTACGAAACAAGAGAAGAGGATCATGGCCATGGAACACGCTGCAGCACGCTAGGCAAACTCCGGCCGGAGCCCCATCGTACCACGGGCGGAGATGCTGCACAGTGAGCGATGACCTTGCATAGCGCTAGACTCATTTCGCCCACTGGATCGGGTGGGGGACACTTCGTGCTGTGAAGGGGGCGGCGCTACAGGCTATTGGACATGGCGAGTGCTTTCTTGCTGCAGCGTCATTGATGAGAAGCGAGGGACACGTAAACGGCACATCGTCGGTCACGATGTGCATGGGTGCGATGCGTGAAACGACAGGAATCAGGCATCAGGATAGCACAGAATTCTGATATAAGTATCGCAGGAAGACGCCGGTTTGGTATGATGTGTTCTACATTGAAGCAATCATCACCGCCCTTCATAGCAGACAGCATATCCCGATCAAGCTCCCTCAACTTCCATTCTTGACAGTGCCTCTACACCATACAATGTCTTCCACCACGAACGTTCTCATCACCGGCGCCGGCCGCGGTAAGTCACGCCTCGTTAACCTAGGTACTGACAAGGCCGGCTCGTCTAACATGACACAGGTCTCGGCCGTGGATTCCTCACAACGTTCCTCGCTCGCCCCAACCACATTGTCATCGGCAGTATCCGCGACCTTGACTCCAACACAGCCAAGGACTTGCGGGCCATCACGCCGGCCTCGGGCTCGCGCCTCATCCTCGTCAAGATCGAAGCCACCTCGACGACGGACCCCGTCGACGCCATCCGCCAGATCGAGGCCGAGGGCGTCAGCAAGCTCGACATCGTCATCGCCAACTCGGGCATCACGGGTATCCAGGGCGGTCTCGAGACGGTCGACCCAGCCGACTTCCAGCACGTCCTGCTGGTCAACGCCGTCGCGCCCACGGCCCTCTTCAACGCCGCGCAGCCGCTGCTCGACAAGGCCGAGAACCCCAAGTGGGTGTCCATCTCGACGCTTATGGCCACCATCGGCGGCCTCGAGAAAACGGCCGCATGGCCGCCGGTTCCCTATAGTGCTTCCAGGGCGGCCGCTTCAACTTTATCACCAAGTCGATCCACATCTGGCACTCCAACATTACTGCCATCTCGGTGACCCCCGGGTTGAGAACATGAGCCAGCCCTGATAGCCGGGGGGGGCGCTACCGTGCTGACCTGCTCTCACAGATTCGTCGCCCACCGACATGGGGGAAGTCTGGGAATCAAGTTCTACAACCTGCCCGAGGAGGCCCGCCATCAGCGTCGAAGGACAGGCGTCAGTGGTGTGACAAAGCTTGTGGGTTGCCTTTTCGCCTGGTCCTTGAATACGCCGTCCTTGCATATTGCTAACTCTGTGGCCAAGGTTGACAATGCCACGAGGGCCGAACACTCGGGCAAGTTCATCAGCTACGACGGGTCGTTCCTCGAGTGGTGAGAAGTCGTGTAGCGCCTGGCTAAGCCGGATTCGTAGTTTCGTAAATCGTAATCAACAGAGAAGACTGTGCTCACTCATCAATGACTGGCTATCCATTCGAGAAAACCAGAATGCGTCGATCGCAGAAGATCCGAACCCGCCAAATTTGGGTCAGCTCCGTGACGGAGAAATAGGTCGACAGCGTTTTCACAGTCAAACTCGACAGCCATCGACAGGGCGGTCCGTCCCTGCTCGTCATGGGCGTTGACATCGACACCAGCCTCGAGCAGGAAGATGATGGCATCTCCCTTGTAGGCTTCCACGGCGGCAAGCAAAGGCGTGCGGCCTTCAATGTCGCGGGCGTTGATGTCGGCACCGTGGTCGAGTAGCATCTGCATCATCTCGCAGTTGCCCAGGCGAGCGGCGGCATGCAAGAGGGGTTGAGGCTTGTCGTGCTTCGTGGGGGTTGTGCAGCCTGTATGTTCGGTCCAGATGGACAGGAGTTTGGCTCGGAAGGCCTGAAGAGCTTCTTGGCTTTGAGAGAGTCTGGTTTTTGACCTGGCGCGGGGCTGAGTTGCATCGGCAGGATTCGTTGCTACACAAAGGTCGCTGGTGGGCGGCGGGGAGGAGGTTGTGGCGTAGAACGTGGCTGGAGTAGTCGCTGTGGCTGCGGCATTGTCGAGAACGCCCGACTCGACGAGTTCCTCAAATAGCTGTGCCTCCCATGACGGGATCTCTGTCTCAAAGGCATAATCGTAGGGCTCTGTGGGGTTGGCTTCGACTCCGTTCAGCGGGACGGGTGCATTGTCAACCACATCGTATGTATTGCCTGGGGTGACATCTGCCCCGGTCTGGTGGATCTCATACACGGGCTGCTGGAGGAAATGGTCCGCGGAATTAAGGCGATGTGATGAATACGGTGTCGTCCAGACATCGAATTCTGTACCGGAAAGCTCCTCAATGCGGCGGCTGGCTTCTCTTTTCTCTTGTGCTCTCTTCTCTGGTTATGCGTCAGCGCGGAGGCGGGGCCAAGGCTGATGGCGAGACACTCGCTCTCTCACTCACCTCGCAGCCGCCTTTGTGCCAGGCGATTCTTGGCCTTCCTGGGATTGTCCATGAAGAGCACGCCGGGGGAAGAGAGCGCATCGTTTGCGTCGCCATTGTGTCTTGTGGCAGCATGTTCATGGCATCGTCGCTCGAGCTCCTTTTGAGACGGAACTTGGGAGGTGAGGAGGCAGGAGGCTCCAGAAGTCCATGGAATCTCACAGCATCGGAATGAAGTTCGGCTGTGGTCGGGTCGCGTGATGGGTCAGCACTGTCACGAATCAGCAGCATGGGTGGCAGCCACACCTGCATCTGGCGCCGGTGGTCTGTGCTCGTGAGGTGGCTGCCTTATTAATCCGACTTCGGCTTCCCCTGTGAGCAACCATCTTCGCGAATGCGTGGATCGCTAATTGATTCAAATTCGGTATGAAATTAGCGACGAGAAGCGGTAGATAGTCTAAATATCTGATGCCTTCCTCCTGGATTTCCATCAAGCTGTCAAGTTCCTTTGTCGCCAGCCAGAGGGAGATGAATCCTGTCTAAGGTATCTTGCCGACCAATTCTCGAATCTGAGCACTAAGTTCCCGCTTCACCTCGAGACTTCACGCACGATCTCGACTCCTTCGAACTTCGGAATGCCGGAAAGCGGGAGACCCTTCTTTGCAGCCCGCGTCGTCGATTCCCGTTTCTGGCTGCATCTAAAATCCCTCCAAGTCCGCTCTGCGAATGTATTCAGAGGCGTATACCTATAATCGATGGAATCGCCTTCGCGAAGGGTGTAGAAGTGAGGGGTGCGGCATGTCATACGCTCGACGGGCATTTTGCACGTAAAGCGAAACAGGAATATGACGGTTCGTCGGCCGTAGAGATGATTGAATAGCAAGTCGATCGAATGCTCACGGCCGTCAACCGCAATCGTGGGTACGCTCGGAAAGAGCTCTTCGACAAGTGAGATATTCATGAAACCACAATCGAGCTCATCCGGCACAAGGAAAACGTCGCGGTATTTGTTGAACCACATGTAGTTCAGTGCCTAGCATCCGTTTACCTCAGTAAATCGCCAGGCTTCCTGGCACGCGCCGCGAATGCGTGGTGGAGGCCGAGGGTTATAGAATCGAGGTTCCTCATCGTCCGCGTCGTCATAAACTTCCCATATTCTCCCAGCCGACAAGACCATTGTCCAGATATATACCCTGATTTCGATGGGTAGGCGCTCAAATTTGTGAAAGACGTTTGCAATGACCGTGGTTTCTAGCTGACCCATGGCTTGTTGTTCAGAATCTGGGCATTATGTATCAGCTGGTGTGGGCGCTTTGTGGGAAGAGCTTGTGGTATACGTGATTGCCGCCCCGGGGCATGATCTGCGAGTGCCTTATGAAATGTTGAGTCTCTGCCATTGCTTTCTGTGTGTTGGCAAGGACAGATTGTACCTCCGAGATGGTCTTTGAAGCCCGCGTCAGCTGCAACACAGCTTGCGTGAATTTCTCCGAGATCGTCATTCTCTCGCAATTACCTGAGGTACTATCTTCGGTGGTTTAAAAGTAATGGGATTGGTGGGAAGGAGGAGATTGACTGTTAACTAGAAAAGGATGTGTCGTAGACTTGAGAAGCTACTAAAGTGTAGCTACCAAAAGTGAGAACAACGAGGTTGCGGAAATTGTTTTGGCATCACTTGCAGCAGGGACGGATCAGGCGGAAAGTAAGGAGCGCAATGCGCCCTACTTACCTAGGTACTTAGAGTAGGTAGCTTTCCATAGGTAGCATGAGGTAGGTCAGGTAGGTATGGTAGGTACCTAAGGCGACGCAGTCACCGCGTGCAATGGTGGCCATGAATTGGATCATACGACATGATAATTCAGCATCGACGCGAGCAACACATTTTATTGCTGGCAACCTGTTGCGGGTGATATCTAGCCAAGCTACAAGCCCATAGCTATGCCTTCATAAATAGTTTACCAAGAGGCTCGTACTTGATCCCTCACCTCCTTTTTAAACGGCACGTTGACATCGAGCAACATTATTCTGTTATTTTTACCTTTATCTATGACAAAGTCATCTAAGTCTTCGTCATAATGAGATACTCGACGACAAGCTCATTTGCAAAACCTTGATTGTGCCCATCATAGAATTGCTTTATCCATATGCTCTACGTGCATGTCAGGCGGCCGTGCGGAATCATCGAACAGGGGGGGTGGTTAGGGGCTGGGCACTAGGGAAACATGTATGTAAGAATGGCAGAGGGCCAGAACTCAACCGTAGTACAACTCCGTACCTATTATCTGTTGCCTACGGGCCATGCGTGGAAGAACTCTTCACTCTGCTCCAACCAAGCACTGACACAGGACACCAGTCCTCCAAGTCTGATCAGCACTTCCATGAGAGCAAAACAGCGCCGCGGTATGTGATCCACCTGTGGTACAAGCACCAACGTCTATATACCTCCGTTACGCGCCAGGCCTCTTTACAAGCCCCTCAGATACCGGACGGAGGCATTGACTTGCGAAATTCAAGAAATCCCCTGCAATCGCCGCCATAAACCTTTTCACCGTGTGCAGAAAATCGAGAGAATCTATTCAAATCCCCACGCTCTGGTCTTGTACCAATCACCTCATGTATCACGCCTGAAGGCAACGCCGTCGTCCAGTTGCCCACTCTGATATCAGCGGCAGATGAGGAAATTCTGATAAGGCTACAGGT